TGCTTCGAAAAAGACAAACAAGCCGTCCCAGATTAAAACCCGGAAGTGAACGCGAGGTGCATACGTCATTTTCACGTCCTCTTGACGTCCGCGTCTTGTTATCTAAAACCGTCTAATGAGTCAATGACAACTACTGAGTAGTACAACTACTAGCTTGATAACAGACGTACGTTTCACCCGCCCTAAAATTCGTCAACGGAAAGGGCGAAACATAGGTCTGATGAAAATGTTGTCAAAAACGCCTTCCGCCCACTTTGCATTTTGCAATAATTAACAACGATATGATGATGATTGACACATACATGTAATACCTAAAAATACAATAAAAGTTGTCGATTTCACTTTATTGCAAGTTTGTAAACTAGTAAGAGTCGATAAGTACAGATATTCGAATAAATATTTAAAATATTAGTAACCCCATGGAGTCTGTCGCTTTTATATACTTAAACCTTTGTATTAAAACAAACAGTTACAGCTAGTAATACAACATTAATATTTTCAACAAATTCTATAAAATAATGCGATAAAATCTGCCTACGCAAATTTGGCAATGGCCAATGTGGCCATTGATTGCATCCCAACTCTTACAATTTATACATTAATTTGAAATCGCCATACAATGATAAAATCTAAATAATGCTATGTTATCAAAATGTTCTAAATAGTACTTATAATCACAAAACTTCGGATCGTGTAAAAATTATATAATATATACTGTATTGTAATGCATGTTTATTACAACGGAAAGATCTGACAACGCTGAAGTATTTGACACGTACTGCTCTACTCCCCTCTACTGGCTCTAGTTTTAATTTTAGACGGTAGATACTGATCATAGATTAGTTGTCGTTCGACATCACAAAATATTTAGAATATTACACTGTATGCATATTTATATGCGTTGATTTACCGTTGAAAATATTCTGATCTTTTCAAATCTTTTCATGTCAGCGATCAACCAATCACAACCCATTTCCCTGTGAATTAGCCAATCAGCTTTGTCGACCACCAGGCGGTCGACTTAGGGGCTGATTGGGTCATTCCAGAAAAGATCCATGCCCCCCCCCCCCTACGGAGGAAATCGAAAATAAACCCCTCCCCCTTCGGACATCCTTGAATGGTTCATCCTCCCCCCCTCTCCGGACATCCAAGCCCAAAATTACCCCCCTCCCCTTCGGACATCCACTATTTCTAAATTGTTCTAAAAGCTACCTCGCCGTTTGAAAACGTCACCGAAAATTAGACTACTGTACGTTCACATAACCTGAGTATCAGGCTTTCGGTATTGAAGAGAGCCTGACACAATTCGCCTCTACGGCCTTTCCGCCCCCAGAATATTTGCCACTTAAAATTATTTCCGGTTGTAGCATATTTCCGGTTGTCCGCTATGTAAATACGCAATTTTCGTTATTTACAGTTTTGTATATTAAAATTTGAATAAATACGGAGAAAATTCGGTATGTATTTGTCGAAATATTCACATGATCGAATTCTAAACGTAAACTATGCCTCATTCGGGGAACCATAGCTCGATGGCTTTTTTCCAGGAGCCTAAAGAGACAACATTCGGCACTCTGAATAGGATTTCTTCTTCCTCGGTCCTCGTGTCATGTTAATAGTTTATTCGAGACAACTGTCTCACTTCAAATTCGTTTCAAATACGTCTGACACAGCGGCTATTGTCTTCAATTTCTGCCTGATGTTGGCATATTAGTTCGAGAGAGCTGACAACTATATCCTTGCAGGTCTTGGAAAACAGCTCGGCAATAAACTGATAAATAAGGCTTTTAATAACTTTTAAATTTAAATATACGGAACTAAATATTTGAAAATTTCGGACATCCACATATTTTCGTTCTAGGGCGACTATTTACACGGCGAGATATTTAGACACGATTTCTACTTAAACGTCTTCTCGTACTTATTTTGTCATTTTTAGGCTTAATTAATTGAAAATAAATTTCACAAATAAAGCACTTTTAACAGTGTATTGGCAAAATTTATACAAATTCTATTTTTGGTGTTTACATACGCTGGTCATATATTTCCGGTTTGAATCACATGATGCGTTTTATCGTCTCTTAGCCAATCAGCATAACATCCAGATTCTGGATGTTGAACATGGCTTTTGAGGCGAATTGTGTCAGCTTGTAGAACCAAACACTATTTAATTGCTATTTAATTCCTATTTTATTGGGCTATTTAATTCCTATTTGTCAAAGTATTTATTTCCTATTTTTACTATTATTTTTTTTCGAGGTTTTTCCTATTTAAATTGGGGTAGAAAAGCTATTTTTTTCCTATCCAAGTGGAACCATATTTTTTTCCTATTCATGATATATTTCTAAACAAATACTTAATTGATGTACTCGAATAGAAATTAAATAGGTTTCAAATATGATAAAAATAGAACTATTTAAGGAAATTATTAAAAATATATAGTTTTGACATAGTTAATAAATATGTATGAAATAGTTAAAACATAGTGACAATATAGGCATAAAATATGTAATAAATAGTTGAAATGAGTTTCAACTAAGTTTAAAATAGTCAATAAATAGTTGAAAAATAGTGATATTATAGTTTAAAAATAGATAATAAATAGTTCAAAAATAGTGATAATATAGTTTAAAAATAGATAATAAATAGTTCACAAATAGTGATATTATAGTTTAAACATAGATAATAAATAGCTCAAAAATAGTGATAATATAGTGATAATATAGTTTAAAAATAGATAATAAATAGTTCAAAAATAGTGATAATATAG